TTCTTCATTTACATGTTTTGAATTGTTAATGACAAATCCAAACCGTGCATTTGAACGAGCTTCGACAGAACACAAATAATATGTTCCAATGGTTTCAGACTAACACTTTTCCTGATTACACACACACTCACACAGACACACCAACTCACACAGACACACAGACTCACACAGACACACACACGCGCACACACAGACACACCCACACACAGACACAGACACACGCACACAGACACACACAGACAGACACAGGACAATGGTTTTGACTCAATTTGCAAGTCACTTTGAGTTTGTTTATTCAGACACAGCTTTGAATGCACGTGGGAGAAGCGTCCGTCAGAAGTGTGACCACAGAGAGAGGTTTACACAGGATCACGTACCATCAATCCAAAGTCCACAGAAATGGATGCTTTGATCTTCACATTCCTGCTTTATGGTGAGTGTAGTGTCTGCTGGTACTACATAGTTCTATTTATATGTTGTTATATGGGGGGGGGGGCGTCGAGTATTGCCGTCTCCCGTTTGGCTACTCCCTAGCCCCCTGCACCTTCTCCAAGTGTGTGGAGGCGGCGCTAGAACCCCTTCAGCGTCAGGGCCTCAGGATACTGACGTATATCACGACGGGCTGATCCTGGCCTCGTCTCGGGAGGAGGCCAGGATCAAACGTCCAGAGTGTTGAACCACGTTGCCCACCTAGGGTTTGTGATCCATAGGGACAAAAGCTCCCTGTGCCTGGCCCAGGAGATCTCGGATCTGGGACTGGTCTAGAATTCCAGGAGCATGACGGCTTCACTCTTGCCGGAGAGACAAGCGGCGGTTCAAAACCTAGGCCGGATCGTTCTGGGCAAACCTCATGTCCAACCGCGGCAGATCCGCTCACTCTTGGGCATGATGGCAGCGGCCCATCCAGTAGTGAGACTGGGGTTGCTGCACATGCGATATCTCCAGAGGTGGTTCTCACACCTCAGGGGTTTATCATGGAGGGTGCGACTGTCGGTGAGGGCTCAGAATGACGTCGCCTTCGGGCTGTCCCCAGGTCGACTCCAGGAGGGAGTTTGAATGGGTCTGGTGGACCACCACATCGAGGTCTTCACGGGCGCCTCACTGAGCGGTTGGGGGAGGCGTGCTCGTCCACCACTCAGCAGGAGGCGTTTGGTCATCTCCCTTGGGGTACATCAACCTCCTGGAGTTGGAGGCGGTGCGGTTAGTGCTGGCCCATTTTTGTGACCAGACTGGAGGGCCAACATGTGATCAGGTAAGCTGACCACTGTGTCAGCTTACCTGATCAGGCAGGGGGGAACAGGTCCCCCGCCCTTCACTGGCAGTAGAGGTTCTTCTATGGGCGGACATTCACCTAGCCTCTCAGAGGGCCCGTCACATCCCAGGCGAGCGCAACGTGGCCGCAGACAGGATGTCCAGGGGTGGGACCTTGCGGGACGAGTGGGGTCTCTCCCCAGCGGTTGTGGCAGAGGTCTCGCTCCGGTTCGGGACACCGGTGGCCGACCTTTTCGCAAATGCGGAGAACGCACAGTGCCCACTCTGGTTCTCACTCAGGTCCAGCGACGAGCCCCCTCTTGGGGTAGACGCCATGGCGCACCAGCCATGGGGAGCACTTTACTCACGCCCTGTCCTGGGAAGCAGGCTCATGGTTTGGAGGCTGAATGGGGGAAACTGTTGAGCCTTGGTCTCCCTCCCTCGGTGGTCGCAACTATTCAGGGTGGGAGGGCTACATCCACCACCAAAGCGTATGAGGTTTGCTAGAAACTCTTCGCCTCTTGGTGCGTGGACAGGGGCCCGGACCCCACCTAGTGTTCCATCTAGGAGATCTTGGCTTTTCTCCAGTCCTTGCTGGAGAAGGGCAGGGCGGCCGCCACTCTTAATGTATTCGCGGCGGCCATTACCACAGGGCACGTGGGGTTTGGCAGCCACTCTGCGCGTAGCCAACCCTTGGTGAAGCGCGTCTTCCGAGGGGCCCGCAGAATCAGGCCGCCCCTCCGGGGTTTCGGAGACCTGCTTTCCACTCCCTGTGGACAGGCTCCGAGTGGGAGTGGCGATATAGCCTCTCTAATTTTCTGACGTCCTGTTTTAAAGTGTGGAGTTGAACACTGTACCAGGGCGACGATGATCTAATCCTAATAGTTTTCTGTTTTAAAGGAGCTGCTGCATTTAATGCAGATTTTAAAGACTCCATAGTGTTGTCCACCGTTTGGTCAATGACTGAGGGACTGCAGCAGCTGTGAACAGGTTCACCTGCAGCAGTATTCAACATAGGCTGTATTAGTTCTTTGAACCTTGTGATAGATTTATCATTTAAGGTTCTTTTCATTATGGTTTTATCTTGCGGGACAGGAAAGTCCTCCAAATCGAGATCAAACGTGATCAAGAAATGGTCAGACAGCAACGAGCTTTGACGCTGGATGTCAACATTGGAGACATCACAGCCGTAGGTCAGGACAAGGTCCAAGGTGTGGTTATGAATGTGAGTAGGTTCCTCAACATTCTGAGTAAAACCAACACCATCTAGTACGGCGCTGAAAGCTTTGTTTAAGCTGTCAGTGCTGTCGTCCACATGTATATTGAAGTCTCCAGCTATAACTATGTTTTCCCATTCCAAAACTAGGTTTGAAATGAAGTCAGAGATTTCTGTTAGGAACTCGCTGTAAGGACCAGGAGGTCGGTATAAAACTATAAATAGCACCGCTTTTTTTTTTCTCCACCCAGGACAGGTGATTGAAAGTGTTAAGTTTTCAAACCAGTGAAAAGCATTGTTGGTTTTGGGACTAAGAACCAAGTTGGTGTGTGATATAATCGCAACACCACCGCCGCGACCTGTAGCTCTGGCTTTCTGGTAGTTAACATGCGTCGGAGGAGTGCACTCATTCAATCTAACGTACTCGTCCTGTTGGAGCCAAGTCTCCGAGAGCGCAAACAAATCCAAGCCCTTGTCTATAATAAGTTCGTTTATGAGAAGCGATTTAGACGAGATTGATCTGACGTTCATTAAACCACATTTAACAACCCTACCGCTAGAACTATTTCTGTCTGTCTGAACTTTTATTAAGTTACTGTGTCTGACACCCAGGTCAGATTTCCTCGCATATAGTGCTTTAGACTTCAAGCGAGGAACACACACAGTTTCAATCTGACTAGGTTCTGAGGCTAGTAACTGAACAGATGGGGGCTCAGAGGTTGTGGCAGAGCAGCTCTGCACCGTGGCCCTTCGGTGGAGGAGGTCTGCAGAGCGGCGTCTTGGTCCTCCTCCTCGACCTTTGTGCAGTTTTACCGACTGATTCAGATTCAGACTTTATTTGCCATTTGCAGTAAAAAACCACATTGGAATACATTAGCAAAAAGTCTCCAGTGTGCACGGACAAATACAGACATAAAACAACATTAAAAGACAGAAATAAAACAAATAAAACAGTAAACAAATGTCACTGAAATGGATCGACTAAAACAGTTTCAAAACAAGTGCAAATCATTAAAGTGCTCTGTTCACACTGATAACAGCCTGTGGATAAAAACTGTTAGAGTAACGAGATGTCCTGCATCTCAGAGAGCGATATCTTCTGCCAGAGGGAAGAAGCTGGAACATGGCTTTCCCAGGGTGGCCAGAAGAGTCATTGACAATCCTAAGAGCTTTGTTTAAAAGTCTGGATTTATAAAGAACCTCCAGAACAGGAAGCTCACAGCCCACGGTCCTCTTTGCAGAGCGGAGCACCTTGTTTAAAGCTCTCTTTTCTTTATCTGTGATGTTTCCAAACCACACAGACACAGAACCAACAAGTAAACTCTCAATGGTGCAGCCATAAAAGTTAAGCACAATCTTAGAGTTAGTGGTAAATTCTCTAAGTTTCCGCAGAAAGTAGAGACGCTGACGAGCTTTCTTAACGACTCGGTCAGTGTTTTTAACCCATTTCAGGTTAGACAGAGTTAAACCCAGAAACTTGCACTCCTCTACGATCTGCACCTGGGAGTTGTCGATTACGACAGGCAAATGAGAACTATTGCGACTGAAGTCGTAGACCAGTTCACATGTTTTGGATGCGTTCAGCTGGAGGTTGTTAGTTTGACTCCACTGAACCACATTTTGTATCTCTGCTCTATAAGAGGATTCATCAGTGTCACTGATGAGACCGATGATGGTGGTGTCATCAGCATATTTGATGATCAAGTTTGAGTCAAAGGAGGACACACAATCGTGAGTGTACAAAGTAAAAAGCAAAGGACTCAAAATACATCCCTGAGGAGAACCAGTGCTCACAGAAACAACATCAGAAAAACACTCATTGATTTTCACTCTCTGAGATCTGTCAGTTAAAAAGATAAAAATCCATTTACACATGGCAACACTTAAACCCAGAGACATGAGCTTTTCAATCAGTTTACCTGGGACAAGGCAGTTAAAAGCAGAGCTATAATCGATGAAAAGCATTCTGGCCACAGATTTACTAGTGTCCAAGTGACTGTAGACAGAGTTCAGAGCAAAGGAGATGCATCCTCCACACTCCTGTTCTGTCTGTAAGCAAACTGGAGCGGGTCAACACTCACAGGGATCTGGCTCTTAATGAAGTCCAGCACAAGCCGCTCAAAAGTTTTCATAAGAACAGACGTGAGGGCCACAGGACGATAGTCATTCAGGCATGTCACAGGAGTTTTCTTGGGAACTGGAATGATGGTGGACTCTTTAAAGCAGTTCGGCACAGTACAGTTCCTTAGCGACAGGTTGAAAATGTCTTTTAGCACAGGGGCAAGTTGCTCAGAGCACAGTTTCAGGACACGAGGAGGGATGCAGTCCGGGCCTGGGGCTTTCCGGACTGTGGTCCTGGACAAGACACGCCTGACTTCCTCCTGAGTCACGGTGAAGGTACCTTGATTGAAACACTCAGGGAATACAGTAGGACAGGCATCCTACAGAGTCAGAGGCGAATGGATGTCGCCTCTGACTCTGTGGCTCATTCGGTTTTGAGTGCAGGGTGGCCCTAGTTCCTCCTTCGACAGACCTCGGTGGGGACCGGTCTGCAGGAACAGGGTTGTGTGGAGAGGTGTGGGCGCTCTTAGGAGAGGCGGCCTGGACACCTCTGCAGTGAGGATAGGTTGACTGGGGGTTTGGCGCTCTTGGGAGAGGCTGCCTGCCCAGGTTGGTCCTAAATTATCTTTCCTGCTTTGCAGGTTGAAGAATGCGCGGGCACTCTTGTGAGAGGTAGCCCTGCATCTCTTTCTCTGGCTTGTAGGACCGCCGTCTCTACCGCTTGGTTGCGGTATGAGCATGTGGGTGTCGAGTTTGCTCCAATCACGGGAGTTCATGCCTGCTGGGAGTACGTTGGTCTGGGCTACGCTATGTTATGCAATAGCGAAGCCTAAAGGGCTGAAGCAACATATGAAATAGAAACCCCAGTTACCTAATGTAACTAAGGTCCTATGAATATGTTGCAAAGCCCTTTAGCTTCCAGCCCAGCAGGCCTGCCCTCTCTTATTCGGCTGAGCTCGAAAGGAGAAGAGCAGTGGTGCATGGCCCTATTTATAGGGCACTGACCTACGCCAGGACGTCAAGGTGATTGGAGCGGTGGATTGTTTGATCTTCTCAGGGCGGGAAGCGGTGCTTCCGAGATATGAAATAGCGACGCCTAAAGGGCTGAAGCAACATTTTCATAGAACCTTAGTTACATTAGGTAACTGGGATTTCTATATACTGTATATGTGTCTCCAACTGTTGAGACTGATGTCTCTGATGTCTCTTTGCTCTATTAAAGTTGAGGTTCCTAAACGTAATGGTTTCATAAATATTTGTCCCTAAAGTGAATCGTACAACAGGCAGTCCTCATATTCTTCAACCAGAAAATGTATCTTCTACATCTTTCAGTGTAAGAACAAGCCCTGTGAGTCACTATTTGACCCTTTAGGAGACAGGACAACACTTTAGATTTTATTATAGTTCTTCTATTGTGATCTGAAAGTTTGGCTCTCCAGCTTTAACAGATATAATTTACTTGCAATTAAAAATGATCAAACAAACTTCATTCATGAAACATCAGTTATTGACATGATGCATTTCCCACTTCTACCACAGGATGGCGGTGTTTCTCATTCTCTGTTTAGCCCAGATTCAGATTCTAGTTTAGTTTTTGATTTCAGCCCAAAACGAACTACTCCATCACTTTTGCAACTCTCACTGTCTCTGTCTAATTAAAATGATTAATTTAGAAGCACTGCTAACCACGTCGAACCTAGATGAGCGTAGAAGCTATTCACTACAAACCATGGTTCATATTAACTAGCTAATAGTAGCTACAAACCTACTAATGAACTGAGGAGCACTGCTAACCATTCCAACCCTGTATTTACTTAGAAGCTTGGCTAACCACTCAAACCCCATAGTCATGCACTTTGGAGTATTTGAATATTTTAATAGATAAGGTGTGTGACCATTGTGTGTTAATGTTTACAGTCTATGGATGAAACGGGCACTTGTATTAACGCGGCTTCACCAGCAGGGGGCGACAGAACCGACACAAACTCCACAGTAGTTTTCAGGAGCGCAGTGAGTGAAGGACAAAGAGCAGACGTCCATTTTATATTTTATTATTTATTGACCTTTGTTTAACCAGAATGTCCCGCTGATGTTTTAGAATCTGACCCCAGGGAGAGAGACCAGAGAGAGACCAGAGAGGAGAGACCAGAGCGAGGCCAGAGAGGGACCAGAGAGAGACCAGAGAGAGGCCAGAGAGAGAGAGGCCAGAGAGAGGCCAGAGAGAGGCCAGAGAGAGACCAGAGAGAGAGAGGCCAGAGAGGAGGGAGAGAGAGACCAGAGAGAGGCCAGAGAGAGACCAGAGAGGAGAGACCAGGGAGAGATCAGAGAGGAGGGAGAGAGAGACCAGAGAGAGGCCAGAGAGAGACCAGAGAGAGACCAGAGAGAGAGAGGCCAGAGAGAGGCCAGAGAGAGACGAGAGAGAGAGACGAGAGAGAGGCCAGGGAGAGGCCAGAGAGAGGCCAGAGAGAGACGAGAGAGAGACGAGAGAGAGACGAGAGAGAGACGAGAGAGAGACCAGAGAGAGGCCAGAGAGAGACCAGAGAGAGGCCAGAGAGAGACGAGAGAGAGGCCAGAGAGAGGCCAGAGAGAGGCCAGAGAGAGGCCAGAGAGAGGCCAGAGAGAGACGAGAGAGAGACGAGAGAGAGACGAGAGAGAGACGAGAGAGAGACGAGAGAGAGACGAGAGAGAGACGAGAGAGAGACCAGAGAGAGACCAGAGAGAGACCAGAGAGAGACCAGAGAGAGAGACCAGAGGCAAGGCAAGGCAAGTTTATTTGTATAGCACAATTCATACACAAGGCAACTCAAAGTGCTGAACAAGAAAGCATTAAAATCATAAATAATCACAGAACATTAAAAAGAAAGATAAAAATATAAAATCCCTCAGTTGTAGCACAACTAAACAGAACTGTCTTTAACCTGGTTTTAAACATTGTCAGAGAGGAGGCCTGTCTCACATCTTCAGGAAGATTGTTCCAGATTTTAGCAGCATGAATCTGAAAAGCAGCCTCCCCATGTTTAGTTCTGACTCTGGGCACTAACAGGAGTCCAGTCCCTGTGCTCCTCAGAGTCCCAGCAGGAGTCCAGTCCCTGTGCTCCTCAGAGTCCCAGCAGGAGTCCAGTCCCTGTGCTCCTCAGAGTCCCAGCAGGAGGCCAGTCCCTGTGCTCCTCAGAGTCCCAGCAGGAGTCCAGTCCCTCTGCTCCTCAGAGTCCCAGCAGGAGTCCAGTCCCTGTGCTCCTCAGAGTCCCAGCAGGAGTCCAGTCCCTGTGCTCCTCAGAGTCCCAGCAGGAGTCCAGTCCCTGTGCTCCTCAGAGTCCCAGCAGGAGTCCAGTCCCTGTGCTCCTCAGAGTCCCAGCAGGAGGCCAGTCCCTGTGCTCCTCAGAGTCCCAGCAGGAGGCTAGTCCCTGTGCTCCTCAGAGTCCCAGCAGGAGTCCAGTCCCTGTGCTCCTCAGAGTCCCAGCAGGAGTCCAGTCCCTGTGCTCCTCAGAGTCCCAGCAGGAGTCCAGTCCCTGTGCTCCTCAGAGTCCCAGCAGGAGTCCAGTCCCTGTGCTCCTCAGAGTCCCAGCAGGAGGCCAGTCCCTGTGCTCCTCAGAGTCCCAGCAGGAGGCCAGTCCCTGTGCTCCTCAGAGTCCCAGCAGGAGGCCAGTCCCTGTGCTCCTCAGAGTCCCAGCAGGAGGCCAGTCCCTGTGCTCCTCAGAGTCCCAGCAGGAGTCCAGTCCCTGTGCTCCTCAGAGTCCGGGCTGGACTGGGACAAAAAAACGGCCGGGGCATTTTTTCCTTTTTAGCGGCCCAGGCAACTCAAAAGGTTCAAGGAGCCATATTTGACAAAAAAAAAAAAAACAGCGTTGTATAAGCCTTATATGAAGGTAACAGGGTCTGAAGCTGTATTAGCTACATTAGCTACATTAGCTACCTTAGCTACATTAGCTGTATTAGCTATATTAGACTAATATCTAAATGACAAAGTAAAGGCTACAAACACATAAAAACCATTCATGATTATCAAATGTGTATTTTCACTGCAGCGTGTCCTGGAGAGAATGACGCACCACGTGACAACTCTGCTTTAAGTTTAACTTTTTTTGCCTTCATGCAATTGTACAAATACAGTAAATACATCTGCTTTTTGGCTCCGAGTTCACCTGCATCACTGTCTGTTCATATCCATCACAGGCTGAAGTTTGCTGGAGCTGAATGTCCTTAATGGCCTTTTCTTTCACCGTCTTTGAGAAGGTTTTTGAAGTCTGAAAATAGGTGCTCCTACTTTATGATGAATGAATCTTTCAGTGAACGGTGTTTAAAGCTTCATTGTTCATTATTGTTTTCATTACATCGCAAACATGAAGCAGTCCTTCCTCATTGACTGAAAGCAAATGTTCATTCTCATTCTTAGTCCAGTCTTATTGACTCTTTCTCTCTGTATCTTTGGGATCCATGCGCACACACAGTCTAAGATGCACACACACCGGTTTGTTTACAGCAGCAGCCGCCTGGCACGGGCCACGTCACAAGATATGACGCACTACGTTGACAGAAATGCTAAAATTTAATATTACTTATACAAGTTTTTGCAGCATTGAAAAACGTTAAGAATGTTTTTCCTCCTACAGAAACCACATTGAAACTAGAAATAAAATATAGCCCTCACACTCCATTTTCAGACATTTTTGAAAAGGCTCCAGGAGCCACTTTAGGGGCACTAAAGGTTGCCGACCCCTGGTTTATACAGTATGTGGAAGCAAATACTGCAGAGGATCAGGATGTCTGCAGTTTCAACAATAAAATAAAGTACAATAGTTTACATTAAACAGAGTAATAAACATGTCTCAGAGTGAGGGAGGTGACACAGACAATACTATTGTTTGTTACAGGGATGAGAATTGGTCAAAGATGTCTGAAATGCATATTGTCAGCCATTAGCTGGCTCTAAATCTGTTTAATCTGTTCACAACATTTTACTTTTGGGCTCAAACATGAACTTTTAATGCAATGGAAAATTTAGGTACCCGAGCATTAATTTAGAGGAGAGGGGAGACGCGGACTGTTTCCTGCAGCGGTGTATTTATTGGGTGGACAAATTACGCAAAGACACGCATGGCCCTGTGCACGTTTGTGGTCTTGGGTACATGGGCACGTTGCGGCTACGCGCTCACCGTGTTGTGTTGTGAGCGGTTCCTGCGTCCAGCTCAGAGCCGCTGGATGCCGGAACACTGCGGCCGCTGAGGTGATGGAATCCCGTTCAAGTACATACAGCAGGTGCCCCGCGGACACGCGCGCTCCCCTCAAACATTTCTCAACGGATTTACACTTTTCACAAACATGTTTTTTGTATGAGGCAGACAGACCGGCCCAAATATGGGCATCGGCCCTTCTGGCATTGCCCGGTACGCCCGATGGCCAGTCCAGCCCTGCCTCAGAGTCCCAGCAGGAGTCCAGTCCCTGTGCTCCTCAGAGTCCCAGCAGGAGTCCAGTCCCTGTGCTCCTCAGAGTCCCAGCAGGAGTCCAGTCCCTGTGCTCGTCAGAGTCCCAGCAGGAGTCCAGTCCCTGTGCTCCTCAGAGTCCCAGCAGGAGGCCAGTCCCTGTGCTCCTCAGAGTCCCAGCAGGAGTCCAGTCCCTGTGCTCCTCAGAGTCCCAGCAGGAGTCCAGACCCTGTGCTCCTCAGAGTCCGGGCTGGTTCATATGGGACTAACATGTCACTAATATATTTTGGTGCGAGGCCATGGAGAGATTTGTAACAAGCAGAGCTGTTTTAAAGTCTATTCTCTGAGCCACAGGAAGCCAGTGCAGAGACCTGAGGACTGGACTAATGTGGTCGTATTTCCTGGTTCTAGTCAGGACTAATGTGGTCGTACTTCCTGGTTCTAGTCAGGACTAATGTGGTCGTACTTCCTGGTTCTAGTCAGGACTAATGTGGTCGTACTTCTTGGTTCTAGTCAGGACTAATGTGGTCGTACTTCCTGGTTCTAGTCAGGACTAATGTGGTCGTACTTCCTGGTTCTAGTCAGGACTCGAGCTGCTGCATTTTGAATGTACTGCAGCTGTTTTACAGCCTGTTTGGACAGACCTGTGAGCAGGCCATTGCAGTAGTCTAACCTACTGGAGACAAATGCATGGATAAGAATCTCCAAGTCTGCTTTAGACACTATGTTTTTGATCCTGGCAATGTTTTTTAGATGGTAAAAAGCTGCTGATGTTACTGATTTGATGTGGCTATTAAAATTTAAGTCTGAGTCCAGTATTACCCCTAGATTTCTGACCTTGTTTGAAGGTTTTAGGGAGAGAGACTGTAGATGACAGATGACGCTCTCTCTTTGTTTCTGGGGACCAAAGACAATCATTTCAGTTTTGTCTGCGTTTAGCTGAAGGAAGTTGTTTTGCATCCACTCACTGATCTGTTGGATACAGTGAAGGAGTGAGTCCACTGGTCCATGTTCTCCTGCAGTCAGTGAGACATAGATCTGAGTGTCGTCTGCATAGTTATGATAGGAAACTTTGTTTCTGCGTATTAACTGACCTAACGGCAGCATGTAGAGATTGAACAGAAGAGGTCCCAGGATCGACCCCTGTGGTACTCCACAGGTCAGGGCCATATGATCTGAGACACAGTTTCCAATCTCCACAAAGTACTTCCTGTCTTCAAGGTAAGACCTAAACCAACTTAGGTCCTCTAGTCGACACCAACCCAGTCCTCTAGTCTCTGTAAGAGGATCTCATGGTCGACAGTGTCAAAGGCAGCACTTAGATCTAACAAGATTAAGATTGAGACTTTGCCTGCGTCAGTGTTCAGCCGGATATCGTTTGTAACCTTAACAAGAGCCTTTGGGAATATTCCAGAATGAAGGGACATGTTTACTATCTGTGTGAGTGAAGGTAACAGACTGCTCAGAACAGACTTCAGAAATCTAGTGGGTAGTACATCCAAGCTGCATGTGGAGGAGCTCAAACTGGAGATTATCTCTTGGACAGTTTTATCATTTACAGCCTTTTTGGCTGTTGGAGTATGATATGTTAGTTTAGGGAACTGTCCTGCAGCCAAACAGGTATAAGACAGGCCAAGGTGCCATTTAATTAAATTGCATTTATTTTTATCCATTGATCAAACAAACAGATTACAAAACTTGCAATTGAAAGAGACTATTTTAAAATAATTAGTTCCCAAAAACACACACGAGCAACACTCACGCCTGACAGTCAAGAACCAGGGAGAATACAGTGCGCAGAGCGCGCCTGACAGACAAGAACCAGGGAGAATACAGTGCGCAGAGCGCTGAGTATGTGAACGGAGCAATCGCTTGCTGCTGTTATTATAATAGCTAGATCCATGCTTGCAGCCCGTGCAAAGCTTGCACTCACTCACAGCCGCTAACAACAACCAGAGCGGCCACGGAGGAGGCCATCTCACAGCAGCATTCTGAGTGATATTCTTATGGATAAATGGGCGAGTCATTCGGACATGCGTTAATGCGTTTAAAAATAAATAACGCGTTAATAAAAACTGTAATTAACGTGAGTTAACGTGATAATTTTGACAGCCCTAGTAAAAACACTTGATTTGATTCCTCATATTTTATCATTTTTTACAGTGTTTCTTTGCAGGAGGTGAAGGACAGAGATGACCCAGGACACGCCACAGTGAACCACATTTATCTACATTTACAGACAGTAAGTCATATTTATCTACTGTATATATAAATAAAACAGTGACATTTCTTTCAAACAGCCTTCGGGGCGTTGTTCCACTGAACCCTCAGGTCCGAAAGTCCCGACTGCAGCAGCGTCTCTTTGATCTAGAAGCAGAAACAGTAAAAGCAGTGGATCTAATTTCTCACAGAGATAGTTTTTTGTTCTTCTTTCATCGACCGCTTTAGAGTCTGAGAAAGGTCTTGTCTGGTCCCACTACTTGGGGAAATAGTATTATGGTGCTTTCAGACCGGATCATGCTGCGTCGAGTTTCAATGCAAAGTCTATGGTGACGTTCGACCGTCACAACGCACGGACCTCTCGGTTCACACGAACGGACTGTTCAATAATGACGCACGGACTGTTCAGTAGAGACGCACGGACTGTTCAGTAGAGACGCACGGACTGTTCAGTAGAGACGCACGGACTGTTCAGTAGAGACGCACGGACTCTTCAGTAGAGACGCACGGACTGTTCTGTAGAGACGCACGGACTGTTCAGTAGAGACGCACGGACTCTTCAGTAGAGACGCACGGACTGTTCTGTAGAGACGCACGGACTGTTCAGTAGAGACGCACGGACTGTTCTGTAAAGACGCACGGACTGTTCTGTAGAGACGCACGGACTGTTCAGTAGAGACGCACAGACTGTTCAGTAGAGACGCACAGACTGTTCAGTAGAGACGCACGGACTGTTCAGTAGAGACGCACGGACTGTTCAGTAGAGACGCACAGACTGCTCTGTAGAGACGCACAGACTGTTCAGTAGAGACGCACGGACTGTTCAGTAGAGACGCACGGACTGTTCAGTAGAGACGCACTGACTGTTCAGTAGAGACGCACGGACTGTTCAGTAGAGACGCACGGACTGTTCTGTAGAGACGCACGGACTGTTCAGTAGAGACGCACGGACTCTTCAGTAGAGAAGCACGGACTGTTCAGTAGAGACGCACGGACTGTTCAGTAGAGACGCACGGACTGTTCAGTAGAGACGCACGGACTGTTCAGTAGAGACGCACGGACTGTTCAGTAGAGACGCACGGACTGTTCAGTAGAGACGCACGGACTGTTCAGTAGAGACGCACGGACTGTTCAGTAGAGACGCACGGACTGTTCTGTAGAGACGCACGGACTGTTCTGTAGAGACGCACGGACTGTTCTGTAGAGACGCACGGACTCTTCAGTAGAGACGCACGGACTGTTCAGTAGAGACGCACGGACTCTTCAGTAGAGACGCACGGACTCTTCAGTAGAGACGCACGGACTCTTCAGTAGAGACGCACGGACTCTTCAGTAGAGACGCACGGACTGTTCTGTAGAGACGCACGGACTGTTCTGTAGAGACGCACGGACTGTTCAATAATGACGCACAGACTGTTCAGTAGAGACGCACGGACTGTTCAGTAGAGACGCACGGACTGTTCAGTAGAGACGCACGGACTGTTCAGTAGAGACGCACGGACTGTTCAGTAGAGACGCACGGACTGTTCAATAATGACGCACGGACTTGGTGGGAAAGTGAAAAGGGAGGAGCAGGAGCGAAAAATCAACGCCCACAGGAGATGGACTCTGCTCATCCTTTCCTTGGGACGTTCGTGCGACAACCAATCAGAGAGCAGCAAAGTGGTCACGGGGACATTAGCGGACTGAGCGAGCAGACTGAACATACTGTAAACAGCCAAAACAGGACCCACACCAGACTTCACCAGAACTCAAACCAGGACTGACAATGGGGGACTCTGTGCTTGTGAAAATATGGGTTGTCATGCTCCTGTGACCTTATGCAACGGCTTAGAGTGTGTTCATACTACTGTTATATAAAGTCACCTTCGTGAACACATACTACTGTTATATAAAGTCACCTCCGTGAACACATACTGCTGTTATATAAAGTCACCTCTGTGAACACATACTGCTGTTATATAAAGTCACCTTTGTGAACACATACTGCTGTTATATAAAGTCACCTCCGTGAACACATACTGCTGTTATATAAAGTCACCGTGAACACATACTGCTGTCATATAAAGTCACCTCCGTGAACACATACTGCTGTTATATAAAGTCACCTCCGTGAACACATACTGCTGTTATATAAAGTCACCTCCGTGAACACATACTGCTGTTATATAAAGTCACCTCCGTGAACACATACTACTGTTATATAAAGTCACCGTGAACACATACTGCTGTTATATATATATACAGAGGGTGTACTGAAAAGAGTTTGATGACCATGGACTGTAAACAGGCGGACTATGGGCTATGCTAACATGCTAACGTGCTCTGGCTCCTATTGACTTACACTGAAACTCCTCTAGCTCAGTAATGTTTGTGTGACATCACCATTTTGGGCTTAAATGTGTGTTTTTTGCTGTTTTCTTCCATGTACGACTCTGGACATGTTTGAGGAGACACTAAAGTTAAACTAAATCTGTCAAACTTCGCTCTTTTCGACCTGGGATCAAAGGAAAACTGGGCCAACACTGTCGGTCCACTCCTAATGTCGTCTGTTTTTTACCTTCTGAAGCATCTGAGTCCAAACTTCAGGCTGCGACAGGTCTGTTCCACTCTGGACCTTCATGTTCACGAGTAGAACCTTTCCATTACGTTTTTCAGCTCGAGTAGGAAACAAACAAACATGTTAACCGAGTCGACACAGTTGTAAACACACAGATGACTTAGTAATAATAAATACCAGTTACAAGATAATCAACCATAGATTATACACTAATTAAGCACTTTTTAGTGATTAAAACTGTCACGTGTGTGAAGGTCATGATTCACTAGTTGTTCGCCTGGTCTTACCATGTGTAAATGTAGCCCGTGTGGTCTGAGTCTTGTCAATTTCACCAAAATCATATTTTTTGTTAGTATTTACTGGTATTTTATTAAGTTTATTTCTGTATATTTTCAAATCGAGGCTTTTATTTTGGCGGTGTCGCCACTTCCTGTGGGTTCGCGGGCTTCCCCTTCAGTTGCTTAGGGGAGGTAAGCAGTAAAATCTCTTGTGATTCAAGTTATAAAATATTTCATATAAAATGTATTTAGTTCGATTATTGTTGTTGTTCATGATTTACAAAGCACTTGCCAAAGTTTATGTTTAATGTAAATGTGTGAAATAGCGTTTTTTGTTGAAGTATAGCACTTTGAAAAAGTGTATTTAAGCTAGCGAGCATGGTCTCACTGTCGTCTGTGGCACGTCTTCTGTCTGTGCAGATCTGTGTCAGGGACTGGCGTAAACAGCATTTAGATTTTTGTGTTTCCAACAGTAAATCCCCCGAATGACAAACCCCTGTGTCTGGTTTGATTCTTGACGCATCTACCCACACAATACACAACGCGGAGAGACCGGCTACACAAACTCTGGTCCATGAACATCTCCTACATGTACGTCTGGTCTTACCATGTGTAAACTCTGGTCCATGATCATTTCCCACATGTACGTCTGGTCTTACCATGTGTAAACTCTGGTCCATGATCATTTCCTACATGTACGTCTGGTCTTACCATGTGTAAACTCTGGTCCATGATCATCTCCTACATGTACGTCTGGTCTTACCATGTGTAAACTCTGGTCCATGATCATTTCCTACATGTACGTCTGGTCTTACCATGTGTAAACTCTGGTCCATGATCATTTCCTACATGTACGTCTGGTCTTACCATGTGTAAACTCTGGTCCATGATCATCTCCTACATGTACGTCTGGTCTTACCATGTGTAAACTCTGGTCCATGATCATCTCCTACATGTACGTCTGGTCTTACCATGTGTAAACTCTGGACCATGATCATCTACTACATGTACGTCTGGTCTTACCATGTGTAAACTCTGGTCCATGATCATCTCCTACATGTACATCTGGTCTTACCATGTGTAAACTCTGGTCCATGATCATTTCCTACATGTACGTCTGGTCTTACCATGTGTAAACTCTGGACCATGGTCATTTCCTACATGTACGTCTGGTCTTACCATGTGTAAACTCTGGACCATGATCATCTACTACATGTACGTCTGGTCTTACCATGTGTAAACTCTGGTCCATGATCATCTCCTACATGTACATCTGGTCTTACCATGTGTAAACTCTGGTCCATGATCATTTCCTACATGTACGTCTGGTCTTACCATGTGTAAACTCTGGTCCATGATCATTTCCTACATGTACGTCTGGTCTTACCATGTGTAAACTCTGGTCCATGATCATCTCCTACATGTACGTCTGGTCTTACCATGTGTAAACTCTGGTCCATGATCATCTCCTACATATACGTCTGGTCTTACCATGTGTAAACTCTGGACCATGGAGAATGCGATAGTAAAATAATCTGTTCTGGTTCAATCCAAATATCAAGAAACTGAAGTCGGAGCAAGAGGAATGTTTAGAAAATGTCTGAGGCAAAGATGTTGTGGCTCCGTTAGTGACAAAGGATATGGCTAAAGCTAGGCTAATGCTAAAGCTAGGCTACATGCTAAAGCTAGGCTAAATGCTAGAGCTAGGCTAAATAATAAAGCTAGGCTAAATGCTAAAGCTAGGATAAATTCCGGTAAAGGTAAACTCAGATCCAATCGTTTCAATCTGCAAAAGGAGCCCCTCCCACCTGTTCACGGAGTCAATGGAGCAGATCCAGACCTTAGTATGAAATGAAATGAGTACCATGGTGTGGTAAGACCAGGGTAACTAGTTGTATGTTCTGGTTTCACCTCTCTGACAGAAGAAGGGATAAGTTTGAGAACAAACACCATCGTTCCACTGATGGTATATGTTTTCCAGGACACAGTGCTCGATTCCCCGGGAGTTTCCTGGTTGGACGTTCATCCAGTTGGTGAAGGAGCTGGTGCTGCCGTCGGACCACCTCCAGGGCTCTCGGTACAGACCCACCCACACCTGGTACGTGGACGAGATGGCTAAGACCGCAGAGTTCTCGCTCTGGTCTTGGATCATGGCCAGGTCTGTGTGGTGCTGTCGACAGTAGCTCCGAGACTCCGCCCATGTCTTGGCAATCGCAACAAACGTGAAGTTTTTGAAGCCGGGACGAGGGAAACCTGAGGCAAGAAGGAGGTGTAAGTACAGTGCTCCATGGTCCATGTGCGGTCTCCATGGTCCATGTGCGGTCTCCATGGTCCATGTGCGGTCTCCATGGTCCATGTGTGGTCTCCATGGTCCATGTGTGGTCTCCATGGTCCATGTGTGGTCTCCATGGTCCATGTGTGGTCTCTATGGTCCATGTGAGGTCTCTATGGTCCATGTGTGGTCTCTATGGTCCATGTGAGGTCTCTATGGTCCATGTGTGGTCTCCATGGTCCATGTGTGGTCTCTATGGTCCATGTGTGGTCTCCATGGTCCATGTGTGGTCTCTATGGTCCATGTGTGGTCTCCATGGTCCCTGTGTGGTCTCTATGGTCCATGTGTGGTCTCCATGGTCCATGTGTGGTCTCTATGGTCCATGTGTGGTCTCTATGGTCCATGTGAGGTCTCTATGGTCCATGTGAGGTCTCTATGGTCCATGTGTGGTCTCTATGGTCCATGTGTGGTCTCCATGGTCCATGTGAGGTCTCTATGGTCCATGTGTGGTTTCTATTGTCCATGTGAGGTCTCTGTGGTCCATGTGAGGTCTCTATTGTCCATGTGTGGTTTCTATGGTCCATGTGTGGTCTCTATGGTCCATGTGTGGTCTCTATGGTCCATGTCAGGTCTCTATGGTCCATGTGTGGTCTCTATGGTCCATGTGCGGTCTCTATGGTCCATGTGAGGTCTCCATGGTCCATGTGTGGTCTCCATGGTCCATGTGTGGTCTCCATGGTCCATGTGTGGTCTCTATGGTCCATGTGAGGTCTCTATGGTCCATGTGTGGTCTCTATGGTCCATGTGAGGTCTCTATGGTCCATGTGTGGTCTCTATGGTCCATGTGAGGTCTCTATGGTCCATGTGTGGTCTCTATGGTCCATGTGTGGTCTCTATGGTCCATGTGAGGTCTCTATGGTCCATGTGAGGTCTCTATGGTCCATGTGTGGTCTCTATGGTCCATGTGTGGTCTCTATGGTCCATGTGAGGTCTCCATGGTCCATGTGTGGTCTCCATGGTCCATGTGTGGTCTCCATGGTCCATGTGTGGTCTCTATGGTCCATGTGAGGTCTCTATGGTCCATGTGCGGTCTCTATGGTCCATGTGAGGTCTCCATGGTCCATGTGTGGTCTCCATGGTCCATGTGTGGTCTCCATGGTCCATGTGTGGTCTCTATGGTCCATGTGAGGTCTCTATGGTCCATGTGTGGTCTCTATGGTCCATGTTAGGTCCCTATGGTCCATGTGTGGTCTCCATGGTCCATGTGTGGTCTCCATGGTCCATGTGAGGTCTCTATGGTCCATGTGTGGTCTCCATGGTCCATGTGTGGTCTCTATGGTCCATGTGTGGTCTCTATGGTCCATGTGTGGTCTCCATGGTCCATGTGAGGTCTCTATGGTCCATGTGAGGTCTCTATGGTCCATGTGTGGTCTCCATGGTCCATGTGTGGTCTCCATGGTCCATGTGTGGTCTCCATGGTCCATGTGTGGTCTCCATGGTCCATGTGTGGTCTCCATGGTCCATGTGAGGTCTCTATGGTCCATGTGAGGTCTCTATTGTCCATGTGAGGTCTCTATGGTCCATGTGAGGTCTCTATGGTCCATGTGTGGTCTGTATGCTCCATGTGTGGTCTCTATGGTCCATGTGAGGTCTCTATGGTCCATGTGTGGTCTCCATGGTCCATGTGAGGTCTCTATGGTCCATGTGAGGTCTCTATTGTCCATGTGTGGTCTCCATGGTCCATGTGTGGTCTCTATGGTCCATGTGTGGTCTCTATGGTCCATGTGAGGTCTCTATGGTCCATGTGTGGTCTCTATGGTCCATGTGTGGTCTCCATGGTCCATGTGTGGTCTCTATGGTCCATGTGTGGTCTCTATGGTCCATGTGAGGTCTCTATGGTCCATGTGTGGTCTCTATGGTCCATGTGTGGTCTCTATGGTCCATGTGTGGTCTCTATGGTCCATGTGTGGTCTCTATGGTCCATGTGTGGTCTCTATGGTCCATGTGAGGTCTCTATGGTCCATGTGAGGTCTCTATGGTCCATGTGAGGTCTCTATGGTCCATGTGTGGTCTCTATGGTCCATGTGTGGTCTCTATGGTCCATGTGAGGTCTCTATGGTCCATGTGAGGTCTCTATGGTCCATGTGAGGTCTCTATGGTCCATGTGAGGTCTCTATGGTCCATGTGAGGTCTCTATGGTCCATGTGAGGTCTCTATGGTCCATGTGTGGTCTCTATGGTCCATGTGAGGTCTCTATGGTCCATGTGTGGTCTCTATGGTCCATGTGTGGTCTCTATGGTCCATGTGTGGTCTCTATGGTCCATGTGAGGTCTCTATGGTCCATGTGAGGTCTCTATTGTCCATGTGAGGTCTCTATGGTCCATGTGAGGTCTCTATGGTCCATGTGTGGTCTCTATGGTCCATGTGAGGTCTCTATGGTCCATGTGAGGTCTCTATGGTCCATGTGAGGTCTCTATGGTCCATGTGTGGTCTCTATGGTCCATGTGTGGTCTCCATGGTCCATGTGAGGTCTCTATGGTCCATGTGAGGTCTCTATGGTCCATGTGAGGTCTCTATGGTCCATGTGAGGTCTCTATGGTCCATGTGTGGTCTCTATGGTCCATGTGAGGTCTCTATGGTCCATGTGAGGTCTCTATGGTCCATGTGTGGTCTCTATGGTCCATGTGTGGTCTCCATGGTCCATGTGAGGTCTCTATGGTCCATGTGTGGTCTCTATGGTCCATGTGAGGTCTCTATGGTCCATGTGAGGTCTCTATGGTCCATGTGTGGTCTCCATGGTCCATGTGTGGTCTCCATGGTCCATGTGTGGTCTCCATGGTCCATGTGTGGTCTCCATGGTCCATGTGTGGTCTCTATGGTCCATGTGAGGTCTCTATGGTCCATGTGTGGTCTCTATGGTCCATGTGTGGTCTCCATGGTCCATGTGTGGTCTCCATGGTCCATGTGTGGTCTCTATGGTCCATGTGTGGTCTCTATGGTCCATGTGTGGTCTCTATGGTCCATGTGTGGTCTCTATGGTCCATGTGTGGTCTCCATGGTCCATGTGTGGTCTCCATGGTCCATGTGTGGTCTCCATGGTCCATGTGTGGTCTCCATGGTCCATGTGTGGTCTCTATGGTCCATGTGTGGTCTCCATGGTCCATGTGTGGTCTCCATGGTCCATGTGTGGTCTCCATGGTCCATGTGTGGTCTCCATGGTCCATGTGTGGTCTCCATGGTCCATGTGTGGTCTCCATGGTCCATGTGTGGTCTCTATGGTCCATGTGTGGTCTCCATGGTCCATGTGTGGTTCTCTATGGTCCATGTGTGGTCTCCATGGTCCATGTGTGGTCTCTATGGTCCATGTGTGGTCTCCATGGTCCATGTGTGGTCTCTATGGTCCATGTGTGGTCTCCATGGTCCATGGCATGTGTGGTCTCTATGGTCCATGTGTGGTCTCTATGGTCCATGTGTGGTCTCTATGGTCCATGTGTGGTCTCCATGGTCCATGTGTGGTCTCTGGTCCATGTGGGTCCCATGGTCCATGTGGGTCTCTATGGTCCATGTGTGGTCTCCATGGTCCATGTGAGGTCTCTATGGTCCATGTGTGGTCTCTATGGTCCATGTGTGGTCTCTATGGTCCATGTGTGGTCTCTATGGTCCATGTGTGGTCTCCATGGTCCATGTGTGGTCTCCATGGTCCATGTGTGGTCTCTATGGTCCATGTGAGGTCTCTATGGTCCATGTGTGGTCTCTATGGTCCATGTGAGGTCTCTATGGTCCATGTGAGGTCTCTATGGTCCATGTGTGGTCTCTATGGTCCATGTGTGGTCTCTATGGTCCATGTGAGGTCTCTATGGTCCATGTGTGGTCTCTATGGTCCATGTGAGGTCTCTATGGTCCATGTGAGGTCTCTATGGTCCATGTGAGGTCTCTATGGTCCATGTGAGGTCTCTATGGTCCATGTGTGTCTCTATGGTCCATGTGAGGTCTCTATGGTCCATGTGTGGTCTCTATGGTCCATGTGTGGTCTCTATGGTCCATGTGAGGTCTCTATGGTCCATGTGTGGTCTCTATGGTCCATGTGTCTCTATGTCCATGTGAGGTCTCTATGGTCCATGTGTGGTCTCTATGGTCCATGTGAGGTCTCTATGGTCCATGTGAGGTCTCTATGGTCCATGTGTGGTCTCTATGGTCCATGTGAGGTCTCTATGGTCCATGTGTGGTCTCTATGGTCCATGTGTGGTCTCTATGGTCCATGTGAGGTCTCTATGGTCCATGTGTGGTCTCTATGGTCCATGTGTGGTCTCTATGGTCCATGTGAGGTCTCTATGGTCCATGTGAGGTCTCTATGGTCCATGTGAGGTCTCTATGGTCCATGTGAGGTCTCTATGGTCCATGTGAGGTCTCTATGGTCCATGTCATGTGAGGTCTCTATGGTCCATGTGAGGTCTCTATGGTCCATGTGTGGTCTCTATGGTCCATGTGGGTCCATGGTCCATGTGGTCTCTATGGTCCATGTGTGGTCTCTATGGTCCATGTGTGGTCTCCATGGTCCATGTGTGGTCTCCATGGTCCATGTGTGGTCTCCATGGTCCATGTGTGGTCTCCATGGTCCATGTGTGGTCTCCATGGTCCATGTGTGGTCTCTATGGTCCATGTGAGGTCTCTATGGTCCATGTGAGGTCTCTATGGTCCATGTGAGGTCTCATGGTCCATGTGTGGTCTCTATGGTCCATGTGTGGTCTCTATGGTCCATGTGAGGTCTCTATGGTCCATGTGTGGTCTCCATGGTCCATGTGTGGTCTCCATGGTCCATGTGTGGTCTCCATGGTCCATGTGTGGTCTCCATGGTCCATGTGTGGTCTCCATGGTCCATGTGTGGTCTCCATGGTCCATGTGTGGTCTCCATGGTCCATGTGTGGTCTCTATGGTCCATGTGTGGTCTCTATGGTCCATGTGTGGTCTCCATGGTCCATGTGTGGTCTCTATGGTCCATGTGTGGTCTCCATGGTCCATGTGTGGTCTCCATGGTCCATGTGTGGTCTCCATGGTCCATGTGTGGTCTCCATGGTCCATGTGTG